AAAGAATGCAGTCACACTGCTGCTGGTTGTAGTGTACAGCAGGCAAGTGCTGTTTCTTTCAGTGATTGTTATCCATTGTATTGTGCTTCTGTTAGTGGCAAAGGGAGTTTAAAAAATGATTCAACAAATTTTGATATTTCACAACCTAAATTGTGTACAACAAAAGATGATTTTTACTCTGACTTTGCCTCTAGTTATGTTTTGCAGCAAAAAAGAACATTTCTATGACCAGAAAAAAGCACTTCTTGTAGTTCAGGCCTAAGTTTCTTTCACTTTAATAAATTTTGTTTACTAAAAGATCATGTAGAAAGCAGTGAAATTAATTGTCAAGTGAGGAAAAATAAGGGAAAATAAGTCTATGTGTCCTATTCTGACTGGAGGGGGGGGTCCGAAATTGACTGTAATGCACCATCGCTTTATCCTAGAAAATGTGATATTTGTAAAAAAAAAACTATAAAACTAAAAATTCTTTTAATAATCATAAAAAAAAATTGCAAAGAAAAACTTGAAACTGAAAATTTTAAACTTTCAATAACTTCTCCTCAGAGTAATATTCTTATAAACATTGATAATGTATTGAGTGCTAAAAAATTAGAAACCAAAGAATGTATTAGTGATAAAATAGAAATGGCTTATCTTCGTAAATGTGAAATATGCTTGAAAACTTATAAATCGAAGAATTCATTTTAAAACAAAAAAACACAAAAAAAAAAAAAAAAAAAAAAAAAAAAAAAAAAAATGTTCAAATAAACAAGTACCTGATTTAAAACAAAATTTTTCATCTGTTTACCCTCGGAAATGTCTAAATTGTAATAAATGTTATCCTTGCAAATTATCATTTTTTAAACATAAGAAATTTTGCACAGAAGTTAATAAATTGTATGTATGCTTCATACCTGATTGCCATAAGTCTTTTACATATGTTTTAAATTTTAATAAGCATTTAGCAGATGAACATAATTTAAATAACTTAAAAGAATATTCATTTGAAACAATGAGTTATTTTCAAGATTGGCTAGAACTGGAAGGAACCTCGACATTTACTTCATTCAGAAAGTTTTCTAAAGTAACGAAAAATTCTAAAACTTATCATTATTATTGTTGTCAGTTTACCACGCAAGGTTATTCTGATTTTGAAAAAAAAAAAACTAGTCGGAAAAATGAAAAAGGTACAATTTCAAAAAGTGTATGTTGTCCAGGTCAGAATATGGGCTTGTGAAGAAAGAAATGAATAAAATCTCTGTTTTTTACTTTCCTAAACATAATCATGAGCAAAAGTTTGAAAATTGTAAATATCAGCCATTGAAACAAAGTACGCGGTGTTTGATAAAAGCAAATTTACGTTTGTCTGTGCCTCCACAAAAAATAAGGGATATCTTACAAGATGGATCAGGAAATCGCGAGAATAGAAATAATTTCCCTGTAAAGGAAAGCTTTGTCTCCCGTAAAACTATTTCTGCTTATTCTAGATATTTAAACAATTCATTGCGTCCAAGTAGTGATGCAGTTTCTGTTAATTCAATCATTGAAACTTTAAAATGTGAAGCATACAATCCTGTGTTATTATATATATAAGCCTCAGAATAATTCAACTTTGTACGGTCCAACTGATCTAGATAATCTTCCAAATCATAAAGTATCGTTTGCTCTTGGTCTTCAGACACGTGAACAGAAAGAAATGATGATAAAAAAGGTTGTACAGAGATTTTATGTATCGATTCTACACATAAGACTAACCAGTATGATTTTTACCTTCTTAATCTTATAGTACCTGATGAATTTGGTTGTGGCTATCCAGTTGCTCATTTTATTACTAATTTTCTAGATGCTGACACTCTTTATTGTTTATTTAATAGTTTAAAGTGTCGTGTACCAAATTTATATGTAAACTGTGTAATGACAGATGATGACAAAGTTACATATCCTGCATTTTCAAAGGTTTTTGGTCAAGATGTTAAGCATCTTTTATGTTCGTGGCACGTACGCCAAAGTTGGTTCCGGCAACTTAAATTCTAAAGTGGTAGATAAGGAAGTGCGACAAAAAATGCTAGGAGAATTAACAAAAATATTACATGAAAGAAACCAGATCACTTTTCATGATCAAATAAGTAAGTTTTTGAATGACTATTCTAGGAAAAGTAGAGATTTTATTGAATATTTTTCTGAAAATTATAAAAATAGATTAGAGGAATGGGCTTTGTGTTATCGGAACTTTCCACATGCATTTACTGATACTAACATGTACTGTGAATCTTTTCACAATCAGTTGAAAACTGTTTATTTTAAGCGGAGACATAATAGACGATTAGATATTTTAATTTCTACACTTCTGACAATTGAGAAAGATAAATATTTAAATCATACCTATAAATTATACACTAATGTATCTCCCAGAAATTCCATTTCTTGTTTAAGTAGGCATCAGAGAGGACTAAAAATTAGGGACAGTGATGTAAATAAATGCTCTGATACTTCTTGGACTGTTTGTTCTCAGACAAAAAATAAAATATATACTGTGCAGCGTCTTTTTGAAATTTGTCCGTGTCAGGATTTTTGCTTTTATAGATGCCCTAAAGTATCATGTGTCTCATTGTGTAGTCACTTGTATCACTGCAATTGCTTAGATAAATTGCTGTGCAAACATATACATAAAGTGCATTCATTCCTTAATAGACAAAATGATTGGGTGTTTAATTTAATCCCTCGGGGATTAATCTTGAATCGAATCAGAAATGCAATGAAAGTATGAAATCAATAAATGTGTATTCTGTTAATCATTACAATCCACAAAGTATTGAACAGAGAGTAAATGCATGTGAAAAGCTTGTAGAAGAATTACTGCAATTAATAAGACAACCAAAAGTCCAAAATGTCATGTTAAAGTGTGTTCATACAACATTAAATTCATTAGTTTCAGAATGTAGAGGAATTTTAAACTCGAATGAAAATTCAAGAGCAGTTTCAAGTGCATCATGTCCAGTTTCACCAAATCAAAAACTTAACCCACAATTGTTTAAAACTTCTAAAAAGAGAAAATTACAGAAATGTCAGCAGAATAAGAATCAAGATTTTAATGATAATGTAGATGACCCAGAAATAAATGAATGTGTGGAAAAGAAAATTAAATTTAAAGCCGTAGCATTTGATTTAAATGACAGTGATAAATATCTATGTGATTTAACCAGTGTTGATCAAAATAAATCATTTTCCCTTCCATTAAAGTCTAGCGAAGATATTTCTGAAAGAATTTTACAAATTGGCTGCTATAGTATCAATCGTATTGCTTTAAAGTCTTTAGATTCTTATATCAGTAAAAGTGAAGAATTTTTTATAAAATCGGTTTGTACAGATTTTGTTAGGGGGTGGTTATTTGATGTAATCATAAATGCATTTTTATACAAAATTTTAGAAAGTGATGATCAATATACTTTTGCTGATTCCTCGATTACCCAGCTTATCTTATCTGATGCATTATCACTTGGAAATGTTTTTCCTGTTTCTTTGAAATCTTTCAAATATTTATTGATTCCTGCTTGCATTGATTCTCATTGGGTTCTGATCATAGCAGATTTAAAGAAAAATACCTTTTATTTATATGACTCGTTAATAAATTCATGCAATCCAAAATACATAAACTTAACTAATAAATGGTCTAATGTAATTAACAGTGAGTTACAAATTAACGGTTCATGGGATATTCAGTGTCCACCGCATGCTTTACAAAATGATGAAAGCAGTTGTGGGGTCTTCATCTGTTATTATGCATTTCAACATGTAAATAAATTAGCCTTAAATCTTCCTTTAGATACCCTTCAATTTAGAAAATTTATATTTATAATATTTTAACTGAGAATGTTCCACCTTGTACACAGGAAAAGATAAATTTATCATCAGCAGAGCAAAACTTTTCAGTAAATGTTAGAATGAATAAAGATTTGACCAAATCATGTTTAAAAATACATGATATTGAAATTACACCATATATGTTAAAATCTATAGATCCTTTTATAAGTAATGAAGAAGAACACTTGTTTAAATCTGTATCTTCATGTTTTCGAAAAGGATGGCTCTATAATACTATAATTGATGCTTTTTTATTTAAAATATTAAACAGTTATGAAGATTTTGCCTTTGTTAAGTCTAATTTACAAATTCCTAAACCAAATTTTTGTATTAAAGATCCATTACTAACAAGATTGAAATCAGCGAAATTATTTTTTATCCCTGCAAATTTAAATTTGTCATTGGATATTAAATAGTTCCAGATATGGTTTTTGAATTTTATGATCCACAAAATAAATCATGTGGGCAAGAGTATCAAATTTTAATTCATACATGGTGTGAGGTTTTAGCTAAAATATTTGCTACTAGCACTAAATGGAAAATAATTTGTCCTTCACATATTTTGCAAACTGATAATATGAGCTGTGGTGTTTTTAGTATGCTACTATGCTTATCAGAGGATTAAAAATCAAAGTTTAAATACGCCAGTTAATATAACTGAATTCCGGAAATTGATATACAAGCATATAATTTTAAGTGATTGATATATTTAAAGAAATTTAAATTAAGAAATGTTTTTCAGGACAGCATTCCATTCCTTTGGTGATGCTTGAAAAATATAAAGTATAATGGACAAATATTTTGCAATTCATCTGTTGCCATACAGTTTCTATAAAAACACTTTTTTTTTTTTTTTTAGTTTGCTTTATTTTGTAATGATGTTATATGGCCAATAAACAAATAAAAATGCTTATGTTTGTATGTAACTTGGTAGTATAAGAGAAAATTGTTAAAGTAGGCAACAATGAACCCTTTTGGCCAGGGTGATACCCCCAATTGTGGATAATAGAGAATAGTTCATTTTATGTTAACAATGCATTCTCGGGGACCTACATGCCAAAATTTTCTCTTATTTTTAAAGAGGAATCAGAGAATTTGTACTTAACACTTCATCCCATTGACTGTGAAGGATTTCCTCAGGAATGATTAGTGGTTCTTCTGCACCAATTTTCATGGCCAATGGGATAGTATGCAAGTACTGCAAATTTTTCTGTTCATAAATAATCTCATATCTGATCTCAATCTGATCATTTTTAATATTTCAGGCTTATGTTTGCAAAATGAATAGTGCATTGTTTTCAGTGATCTTGGCTGTTTCACAATTGAATTTAGTCTTCTTTATTTTTCAGTAAACGATTGGCAGGAATCTGGTATGTATTTAAAAGTCAAGAGCAAGCTCTGCCAGGAGAATTTTCTGAAACTGAAACTCATAAATTTTTGAGTAATATGGTTGAATAATAATATTTATACTCTAGTCAAGGAATTTTATCTGATATGTCTTTATTTTCAGAAATAAAAGATGAATAAAAACTTTGTAAAATAATTATTATGTATTCTGAATAAAGTCTGGGGAAAAAAATTATCCATTGTTGAATTATTTTTTACTGAAAATTACTCCACATATTAGGAATTAGTCATATGTATGAAGCATAATATAAGTAGTGTTTCTTACAAGACATTGACTAATACATTATCCCAATTTCTTCTTAAATAAAATATATTTTCATTCTTTATTTCATCATCCATGATATCAATTGATTTTCATTGATTAAGATTAAAAAACACTATAGTCACTTAAAAATGTGGACACTTTTTTTTTTTTTTTCCTGGTTAATAAGAGTACTTGCATATTTGTTAAGTTTCAGTACGTAAAGCTGTATACAAATTAAACTTTCACACATTCCAATATCAAAAGAGCTACCAATAATTAGATATTTTAATTTTTCAACATTCAAAAACAAAGAAATAGGAGTGAACTTGCTGCTAATCAAAAAGATGAATATACTGGTCTTATAATAATTATGAAAAATGAGTGCTAAAGTTACAGCCCATTTTTTTAATTTTTAACTATTTATTGCAAAATAAGGAGGCTTAAAAGTTTGTGTGTCAGGCAAAGGGCTTGTGGTCTTTCACACAGAAGAGTGTAGCCAGACTTATATTAAAGCATTCAGGAAATTAAATAATTTTAATTCTAGAATAAGTCTTATCGTTACTTAATAGTTAGATAATGCCTATTATTATTTCCTGTCATTACAGAAGTACTTGCTGAAATTTCTTTGTTTCCCATTTGCATGGATGGTTTCAAAGAGTTGAATTTTCTGCAGAACTCTTAATATCCATAAATTGTTTGACACATTAAAAATAAGTGAATATTTGCTCTAAGCATATACATGTATTTCATTTAAATTTAATAATAATAGCATATACATAAAATCCAGATTTGATTTAAACATTCATAACTAAAGAACAAACACTGCTTTTACAAAGACCATGTTTTCTCCCATTTTGCATCAGTTACAGTTATTTTCATGCACATGAGTATATTTTGAAGTGTTAAATTAATTATCATTTCTATTCTTGGATGCTCTATGACTGAGAAAATAAAACTTAATGCTAATCTGATATCTAATTATTAATCTACTAAACCAAAATAATGAGGTTCTATAGTGCATGAATTGGGCAAAAGTGTGCAGTTAAATTCAAACTTGTAATATTCTGTAGCAACCATTTGAAGTCACATTTCCTAATGTTTTCATTAAACGGAAAACTTTACAATTCTAACACATTCATAAATCTCTTAAATTTGTATCATAATATAGTAGGAATGGTTCTTGGAATTAAGTGTTAATTATTTCATCAATGTTGAACTGTGCTGTTTTTCTCTCACAGCATGAATAAATGTGACTGATTATAACAGCAACTAATATTGTGATATGCAGAATAGGGGTGTAAAAAGCCTACAACAAAGCAATTTTAAATATTGGGTCTAGTTGAGCACTATTACAGATTGAAAACGTCAAAGTGTCAAAAGTATATGGAATAAAACCTGCATTTTTAGAAAATGAGAGGTTTCATAAATGAATACTGTAATGATATACGTAAGGAACCAAAAAATATTTTTTAGATACGAGATACTGTTCTGTATTGGTGTGTATGATTTATACTGAGAAACATGACACAAAAATTTAGATCATTTCAGATAGGATTTCACCAGAATATTTTGTGTTATGGTATATCATTTGTGTATGTGGAAGTGATCTGTTCAAGATATAACTGTATTTTCATGCCAAAGATTACACCTGCAAAACATGAAACATATCCTATGAACTTTGCAAGGTATGAGCGAAACAAAAATAAGAATTGGTTTTGTTGGTGCAAATTAAATGCATTATACAGTATCAAGTATATACCAAACATTTTCCAGATTTTCTAAACTGGTAAGTAAAGACAAGAATACGTCCAAGTACAGTTTTAAAATACTACTACATATAAATAAAATTGTTGTGAACTGTTGAAAAAACTACAAAAAAAATTTAGATTTTACTATGTTAAACCACGTTGTGTTTATGGAGTATAAAAATTAACCGTGGCTTCATCACAAACTTAATATATCTATAAAAAAGATTTTGTACTTTTTAAAAACGTTACCATAGGTTCAATGCCATATAAGGTATTTAAAGTAGTGTTGTATTATACATAACAGCCAAACAGATGTGATTAGGGAACCTAGAAACATTTGTATAGATATAATTATTATATTCTTGTCTGTATTCATAAAAATGCTACAGTTAAGAACATGACTGTTATCTTTAATAAAATTCTGAAATAATTTAAAAGTTTCATATGTGCAGAGGGATATTTCTAGATCCTCTATTCAGGCATAATAATAGTTGTGTTACCTTTTGGACGTGAGATCCGAAGGCAGGAGTGCAGAATGGATGCATTTTGTACCAAGAATGGTAGTTACTAAGCACTGGACGATCAGATTTCTAAAAAATTTTGAAATCAAAGAGAACTTTTTGTACCTTAGGTGCAGTGACTGCTAGAAGCAAACCACGTAGTCTGTGAATAGATGTTCCAAATCTTCAGTTAATGTGAGGCTGTTTCCATGAGAAAGGTAGCCCCTACATAATTTATAACATTCGATCCAAAAAAAAGTTAAAGCTTGGTTGTCACTTGTTAACAAACAGATTCACTAGTACAGAGTAGTGCACTAAATTTAAATAGCATTTTTAATTAAAATTATATTGAAGAACATGGATGCCTGCCAATGTTGTTCATCGCCAGAGACCTACAAGTTAAAGATCCCTGATATGTGATATTGCAGTAAATTTAGATACTTTTTAAAATTAAATCCAAGAATACTTGTACCCATGAAGATCACTACTGGCCTATGAATTGGCAGCCAGTGGAGATGAACGCCTACCTAGTTTACCCCGCGAACGGGCTGGCTGCATGGGCGTTTTCGTGGTTTTCCCCATGTGTAACGTGTATACGAGCCAGTTTCCCTTAGAAAGTCCTCCACGAAGGCATCCCTCCCCTTAGCCAGATAGCCCTCGAGGCTTTGCCATAATCACACACACTACCTAGTTTACCGGTGTAAGACAGTGAAAAAAAGGACTGAACAGATTTTAAAACTAAACTAAAGAACAGCAGTGCCCATTAAAAATATTGATGGTTATTGGCAGTCAGCCAAAAGGTTTCAGATACTGCAGATAATTTAATAACCTACATAACATAACACTCCAAAAATTTTGGAAAGAGTTAATGACTTAAAACAACAAAGTACCAGTTTTTATGAGAAACAACCAGTTCTTCGAGAAATTTTTGTTTAAAAATTGGAAGGTCTCTGCAAACAACAATGAAGAGATTTTAGAGAACTCTAATTCATACACTTTTTTCTTTGTCACAAAAATATTGACATCAAGTGATTCCTCTTAAAAAAAGCAGAAAATATAGCTCTGAACAGAAGTACATTTTCAGTATTGATCTCCTTTTCTAGAAAACCATTGTGATTAGGAAAGGTATTATCATTTTCTTCTAAATAATGATCAAGGCTGCAGTATGCCATCCTCCCCCAGAAGTTTGCGTAGGTGATTCGTTAGTGCAAAATTCTGGCGATTTCGTTCGTTTTGTTGATTGCAGCTAAACATTCAAGGGCTATCTGACTAAAGGGAGGGATGCCTTCTTGGAGGACTCTTTAAAGGGAAACTGCCTCGTATATACGTTACACATGGGGAAAATCAAGAAAACACCCATGCAGCCAGCCCATTCTCCGAGATTCGAACCACGGGCCGAACTATCAGTGTTCAGTGATTTTACCGCTCGGCTGCTGATGGGCAAATATAGTAAAAAGCATTTTTTAATATATAACGGAACATTATTGAAATTCTGACTTTTCCAAGTTTTATTTTTTGGATTTCTCAATGCCAAACATTAAATGCCCTGCTACAACCTCTATAAGAAAGGACCTCTGTAAGAAGGGAAACTAATAAAAGACTTAGTCAACGAATGCTTCAGCATGGAATTGCTAATATTCTGAGACTAGGGTTTCCCTTATATGTCTTAACTAAAGTTCTCTTCATAGGGTTCTGTTATGATTTTAGATATGTATCTAGGAAGTCTGTCTGATTCTGAACGCCTGGACAACAGATCAGTAACGGCCTTCACAGTATCATCTATTTTTACACACCTTACTTTTTCATTCGTAAGAAAAGCTGGAGAGGGAAACAAGTTTAAGTCTCTCACTCTTAAAGAAACCTTGGGACTCTAAATATGTCCAACATTCATATTCCTTTAAAAGACGCAAATATTGGGAATGGATCACTCTAGATTCTAAATGTATAAAATGATAGATGTAATGGCGTACATATAACCAGATCAGTGCTGTGAAGTAGCCTTTTAAGTTTGTAGATATGGGTTTGCTATCTATCATTATGGAGGCATACGCAGTGACATACTTAGTAGCTCTGTTTATATATTTAAGTTCTTATCCTTACTTCCTCAAAGAGTCATTAAAATCATCGGTTAGAACGAATGATGCAGATAAGTGCTATCTTAAGCGTTTTCGGTTGATATTATCTATGAGTCCATTAGAAGGCAGGTAAAATCGATACCAGATATATAATATCAGTCTGTACAGGTTGAAGACAGTAGTGAGCCAAACACATAGATGTTCCAGAAGGAAAGCATTTTTCGTCGGACATCGAAATGCACAATGTACTGGCAGTCAGCCTGTCCAGTTCTGCAAGAATTGATAGGTAGTGTATCTGTGGAGCCTGCCTTAGCAACCATACAGAATATAGTAAATTAAATAATTCGGGAATTTACAATGAATAAAATTCATTATTTTTTCAAATAATTCTTATACGTGAGTAGTACCGTCTTCGCGAGATGTCAGAAGACAGAGAGGGACGGTGAGGATGTCAAAAGGATTTGGAGTAGACATCTCATCATCTCGGAAACTGCACCACTATGAAAAGGAAAGCAAAGGCGATGAACATAGGTCAATGAGAAAAAGGGAGTAGCAGGCAAAGAGGTAATTAGGATACGTGTAAAACGGTAAAATTCCTAGACTGATCC